CAACGGAATAAGCCAAGTGCACACATTGTAAAGGTGGAATTAGTGATAGCATGCCAGCCCAAGATGTTTGGTAGCAGGGCCGTGAGAATGTCCTTCATGTCACCTAACACCTCTAAGAACCCAAAGGGCCAACAGTTTAGTATTCAACAACATCTCTCCCCCGGAAGTTGGATATATTCCCAGGGTCATATGTGGGACAGTTACAACTCAGAACTGACAAATGACTTGTCTAGACTCATGCAGCAAAAGAAGGGATGAGGCTTCAAACCTGTCCTGAGGTGACTGCCCCTCCTCCAGAGGCCTAGAGAATCTGAGCTGGTTCACATCTTAGTTCTGCTACTCCTGTGGGACCTTGAGTTTATTTCATCTGAACTGTAGTTTCCTCATCATGGGAATGATGGGGTTGAGGCGAGGGTTAAACAAGATCGGGCATGTAAAGTGCTTTGTAAACCAGTCAGCTCTGCACCCCTATTAGCCAAAAGACCGAAAGATGAGAGGAATCAAATTAATTTCTTGGCAGTGCCATATCCTCAGTGCTAACCTTGCTGACTTCCCCTCCAGGACAAGAGCGAAGCCACTGGAGGAGCCCTCTCCCGAAGGGCTTGTCGCCCAAGACCTATCTCGCTGCCCCCCATCCTGCCTGAGGAAGAAACTCGCAGGATCGCAAAGATATTTTCTTCCCAGTACTCACAGAAAGACTAATGCAGCCTGAGAGACTGAGGGAAGGACTCACCTGCCCACCATCCCTCAGCCTTGTCCAGCTTGCAGAAGGCACCAGGCCTGCGTTCCCTCAGGGCTATCAGAGTCCTGAAACCACCACCAGCTTAGTCCATGGGCACTGCGAGACCCAGTGAGCCTAGACTGGGGGAGCATCCCAAACCGGCCTGGTGTCCACCTATGAGGACTTCAGCTTCTCCCTCCTATGGTGAGGCAAAGGCTAGAAATAAAATGGACTCCAGTGCCCAAGTGGCCCACCATCTTTTGACCAGGGGACCCAGGCAGGCATCTTTCAACTGAGAAACTTCCCAGTGTCCTTGAGACAGCCTACTGCCCACCCTCTGCCTGAATATGATGGGTCATTTTTGCCTTAAAGGTTTGGGGAGGAGGGGGGTGTAGATTGTGTGCATCGTGCATAATCGAGGAAATGCTACAGCCACCTCCAGTTCATTTGCCTGGGAATAAGGGTATTTTACAGGTATAAATTATTTTTCTGCTGTGTTGCATTAATCAATAGGAGAGGAGGGGGAAATCACCTCCTTCAAACGTTTTCTGATTGTCTGAAATTCTAACCATGCTTTTAACTTATTGTTTTTTTACCCATCTCTGAAGGTTATTGTTCCTGCCTGTGTTTGAATAAAATCATATTGGTATTTGTATTCTGCACACAAGTATTTTCTGGGTTGGCCACTGGACAGGGTGTTAAGAATTAATTTGTGCTCTAATGGCCAGAGAAAAAGCTTGACAACCATACAGTTCCTCAGAGAAGCTCATCTGGACCCAGGCACCAGACTTCTGAGCTCCCCCAAACATCAGGTTGGTCCAGATTAGGGTGACACCCAGTGTTTGCTGGTGCCTCAAATCTATCAGCAAAGTGGAGGAGTCTCCTGGAATAAGTCCACTCAGAATCCCCCATCCCTCTAGGATGGGTAGCTCTGGCTTAGACTATCAGACCCTACATGTTTGAGCAGCTACGATAGGCAAGGCCTGTGGGGAAGATAGGAGTGAAGATGTGCAAAGTGGCTGGGAGAGAAAGTCAGCAAAATACCATGGGGGGCCCTGCTTCCTGACCCCAAGCACAGGTCATTTCACTTAGTCCTCAGAACAACTCTATAACCTACATATGCGGTTTGACAATGAAATTTGTGAACTCATCCTAGAAAAAGTGCTACATACCTCATTGCTGAATATCACTATGGTCACCTTCGAAGTACTCCCCTTGGGAAGCTATGTGCCAATGCCACATAGCTTTTTTGGAACTCTTTTTTTTGGAATGGCCATCATTACCCTTGATGTCCTGAATGTCATCAGGATGTCTTCCTTTCAATATTGCCTTTATCTTCAGGTAAAGAAGTCATTGGGGGCCAGATCAGGTGAGTAGGGAGGGTGTGCCAATACAGTTATTTCTTTACAAGATAAAAACCCCCTCACAGACAGCGCCGTGTGAGCTGGTGCATTGTTATGATGCAAGAGCCGTGAATTGTTGGCAAAAAGTTCAGGTCATCTAACTTTTTCACGCAGCCTTTTCAGCACTTCCAAATAGTAAACTCGGTTAACTGTTTGTCCAGTAGGTACAAATTCATACTGAATAATCCCTCTGATATCAAAAAACTTTAGCAACACGGTTACAACGTTTGCGAACTTAATTGTCAGACGTCATATTAGAATTCTCATTTTATAGTTGAGCTGAAACTCAACGAAGTTAAATAATTTGCCTCTGTTGACATAGCTAGGAAGTGAATCACCATTTTCAAGCTGCTGCAAGGCTTCAGCACTCAGTGACCAAAACAGGTTACAGCCAGTAAGGGCTCTGAATTTTGGGGAATTCATGGGGAAAGACCATGTGGGCTGGAGCAGTCAGAAAAGACTTCCTAGAAGAGAAGTGTGGAGGTGAGCCCAGAAAGAGAACCTAGAGGGCACTCGGGTCGCATCCAGCTGGGGACAGTGAAGAGACTGGTCTGGCTCTGCCACTTCTCCAATAAGTTCCCTCTGGCTTGACTCTCCCTTCATCTGATCCTCTGTTGCCTCATCTATAAAGCAGAGATGATAACCCCAGCTTCATAGGGTTGCTGTGAAAATTACATGAGATGACATTTATGAAAGTGCTTGGCCTGCACTTGGCACTTAGTGGACGCTTAGGAAATGTCAACCCCGCCTCCGCCCCACCTCCTGGAGCTCCTGGAGCAGATAGATCAGTAGATAGGTAAACAATAACCGCAACAGGCAAGACATGCCCTGAGGATACAGGGCGATGCAGGAACCCCAAGGAAGGACACGGTGCCCTCAGACCAGCTTGCCCCACTTCACCTGTTCACCTCAGCCCGCTAAACTTCAGCCTGCGAGCTCACCCCTTCCCCAGAGCCCCCCTCTGAGTTCACCAGTTCAATTTCAAGGCCTAGGGCTCGACCTCCCTTGAGGCCACACAGAACCTGCAGCAGGGCAGTCAGGGGCCCAGGCCTGAGGTGTTAAGCTGCAGGTGAAGAATATTTTTTCCAGATTCTGCTTCAGGTCCTGTAAATAGCCTGATTGGGTCAAGCTAGGATAAGGCCACCAGAGGACACAGGCTGCTTCTACCCAAGCCAAGGGCAGCCTCCATGACACGAAGGCATCCTTAGGGTCTGAAACCCACTGCATTCCAGGAAGTTAGGTCTGTTTCCCAGTGACGGCTCAGAGGTGAAATGCCTTGCAAGGTCATGCAGCACAGGTCAAGGGCATGAAGCACATGTTCCTACCACCACCAACAGAGAGCTAACCAGTGTCTCCCCCACTTCCCTTTGAGCACTTACTCCGCAGAGACCTGAAAATAGGTGTTTCTGATCACCCAGAGGCTGCTTGATCCCAACCCATAGCAGCCAACCTTGGAACTTCTGGAGCAGGCTGGATTCTGGGGACAGGAAACCTGGCTTAAAAAGCTCCCAGATCAAAGCAAGCGGAGCCCGCCCACCCTCGGTTTCTCCATGCACTGCCCCCTTGCTTGGTTCCTACTGTTTGTCCCTCCCCATATACAGTACCCACTGCAATTCACCCACCACCTCCAGGCCAGCGTTTCCAGGTGGAGCCCAGAACCTAGTTCCTGAGCCCTCCCAACCTCAGTAGCCCTAGCAGCCCTTTCCATCATAACACTCTTACAACTGCCCATTCTGCTATCATTAGAGCAGAGTTTGGTCCAAGGAGGACAGGCACAGTCCAGGCTTTGTACTTGAGCATCTGGACTTGTGACCACCTGCCTCGTGGCCATGGCTCTGTGCCCAAATCCGGCAATGGCCTCTGCCTACTCCTCCGCCCCACCCAGTTAACTCCCTTTCCTTTCCTCTCCTCCTCTGCCCTCCCCTCCCCTGTCCCCTTCTTTTTCTCCCCTCTTTCCCCCCATCACCTGGGTCCCAGATTCAGATGTGCCCAACCCTTACCCTCAGTGCCTATCAATGTAGCCTACAGTAGCTGCTGCGGGGACCCTTCCCACCCTGCCCCACGCACCCTCCCCAGCCCCCTTTGGCTGCAGCAGTGTCCATGCTGGAGCCTCCAAATGTTATGTCGTCGAGAACAGGGGTCACAGCAGATAGGCCCCGAGTACATTATAATTTACAGGCTGGAGGTCGGGCTCTGCCATGTACTAGCTGTGTGACCTGTGTAAGTCATTGTCCCTCTCTGAAACTAATTTTCTCCTGTAAAACAAGCATTACAAATGTTAGGGTCCTCAGCCATAAAAAAGAATGAAGTACTGACACAGCTCCAACACAGATGAACTCTGAAAATATTATATAGTACATGAAAGAAGCCAGTAGCAGAAGTATGTCACATAGTGTATGATTCTATTTATATAAAATGTCCAGAACAAGCAAATCTATAGAGTCAGAACGTACATTAGTGATTGCCTGAGGCTGGGGGGAAGGGAAGTGACTGCTAATGTGTATGGGGATTTTTTTGAGGGGTGATGAAAATGTTCTAAAATTGATTGCGATGATTGATGGTGGCGTAACTATGAATATACTAAAAATTGTACCCTTTAAATAGGGGATGGTATGTGAATTTATATCCCAATAAAACTGTTATTTTAAAAACAACAACTTAGAATCCTAATAGTACTTACCTCATAGTTTGTGAAAATAGAAATAATATATGTAAAATATCTAGCACTTTGTAGGCACCAAGAAATGACAGTTATTATCATTGTTCTTATTAAGAGGAGGCCTGGGAGAGCCCTGCCCAGCCCATTGAGGGAGGCCTTGACCTTCGGACTCTCAAAGGTGACAAGTCCAACACCACCCAAACCCCCCCATACATACCTTTATTACCTGAGGTAGCTCTTCTTTCATGAGCTGGAAGGAGCTATTTTAAAGAATCCCAAGTCAAAGGAACTGAACCAGCCAGATCTGGAACTCTGACTTCCCCCCTCACCTCCCTGCCCCCCACCAGCCGCCTCTTGTCAAATGATCAAGCTGTCATCTAGTGTCTCAAGGGTAAGGTTTCAGGTCAGCTGGAGTGTATAAAGATAGGTGCCAAGCCTGAGGCGGCAGAGACAGCAGTGAATGGTGAGGGGGCAATCGGATCCCTGCTGCCACTTCCTAGGATGGAGGCCTAAGGAGCCTTCAGGAGGTCCTGTGCTTCCCCTACCCCTGCTGGATCACAGGTAAGACCCCATTCTCCACCCCCTTCCTCCTCTATGTTCTCCCCTCAGGGCAGCTTGCAGAGAGCAGCCAGGAGCTGGCAGGGGTCACTAGCCATAGCACGGCAGAGCTGAGACAGATTCAGTCCAGCCCCCAAGTTGTCAACATAAGGAAACTGCAGCTCTGATGAGGGCTGTGGAAGGGCTGGGCCTCAATCCCACCACTGGTGGCACTCACCCAGGACTCACTTCCCCCTTGCTCTGCTGTGATTTTGCAAATCTCCATAGATACGAGGTGGCTTTCTTCTTAGCCTGGCCCAGAATCCCCCCAAGATGCCTCCAGAGCATAAAGGTCTCTCCCCATGAGGGCCCTAGGGAACCATTTCCTGAGTAGGGATGGTGGGGGCATCTCTGGCCTGAGGCCTGGCCCATGTCACATGCCTGGAGGTTTACAGAGCCCATGGGAACTCCACCTAGGTGACGTCCTCGTGGAGGCTTTGCCAGGAGGGTGGGTTCGGGCAGGGGGTCTCAGAATGGGGTCTTCTGACCCCTGCTCAGAGCCACCAGGGACCTTATTTCTAATGCAGATTCCCAGGCCCCGGCCCAGACCTGAATCAGGATCTCTGGGGCTGAGGGCTGAGAAGCCACTTTGTAAACAAGCAGTTCCAGGGATCCTGAGCTCTCCCTGAAGTCTGAGACTCTGGGCAGTGGAACAGGCACATGTGTCAGACAGACCTGGGCTCCAATCCCAGCACCATCCTCAGCCTTATAACTGGCTGAAGCTCTCGAAGCCTCAGGCCCCTGGTTTATGAAGTGGGAGTAATCATAGAAGTACCTTAGAGCCTTATAAAGGGATTGAATAAGCCAGTGCCTATAACACCCCCAGCATGGTGCCTGGTGCAGCAAGTTCTTGGCAAATGTTAATGGGCCACACTGAGCTGGGCCATCCCCTCCCTCAAGTGCCCCCACAGAGCCACAGGGAGGAGGGTTGTGCTCTTGACTTCCTCCACCAGCCAGTGGCAAAGGTCTGCTGACTACTGAGGCTCCTCAAGCACCAATTCAGGAAGCTGGAATAAGGACGGAAGGAAGTTGGAAAGCAGTGACCTCAGGGCAGCACCTACCTGAGCCCACCACTGTGGCCTCCACACGCCCCACCCCAACTCGACCAGTGAAAGTTTTAGAGCCCTCCCCCCGAAAGGTGTGGCTTTTGACCTGAGTCCATGCCTACCTACTCTGCTTCCCCTGGGTGGCCCAGGACTGCCTCTGGAATACTCTCCAGCTTCACCCCAGGCTGCTGCTCTGGGCCAAGTTCAGGTTGCAACACCTCTCGTTGCACCCTTCCAACAACCTCCTCCCAGGTCTCTGAGCCTTCCATCTCTCCCTTGCAGTCCCTCCTCGACACCTTCACCACACGCTGCACGCAGGTCTGTTGGTGTCACTCCTCAACTTGAAAACCACCAGCCACTCCCCATTCTCGGCTAGATTAAGCATAGTCCTGGCATTGGAGGCCCTCCACTAAAGGCCACTGTAGGCATCTCAGATCTCGTTTCCCATTTCTTCCCTGCAGCAAGTGGGGTTCCTTGGTCAACTGGTCCTCCCTGGGCCCCTCTGGCCCTGGTCCATCCCTGTACAGGCTACACAGAGAAGCAGGATAAGTTAACCTTGTCTCTGCCTTTGGGGTCCTCCATCTAGAGGGGAACCACTGTAGTTAAAGAGCTGATCCTATTAGAAGGTATGGGACCAGGGACAGCTGGGGACAAAGGAGGTTCAGAAGGGAAACCCTTGGCAGTTCAGCCCCCTGGCCAGGGAAAAACAGGTCCCCCAGGGAGATAGAGCCAGCCACATAATGCTTCCTGTGGGGCCAGCACATCACACACAATCCACAGCAGGGGACCAAGGACAGAGAAGGCACAGAGACACAAAGCCATGCTTTAATGTGACCTCAGGTCATTCTACCCATCTAGGCCTCAGTTTGTAACTCTGAAAGTGGAGTAAGTTTGTAGGGTTCTTTTAATAGAGCCCAGGTGGCCACCAAAGATGTTAAAGAAGGGACACTCGGACAACCCGTGAGAGACAACCTGGGAAGAGAGGCTAGCAGGATGCCAGCAGCAGCTGCTCACACACCTGCAGAAGCATTTCAACCCCAGGCAGGAGCCAGAACCTCCCTACTGGGGACCAAGCTGCGCTGGCTGCTGCTGGTCTTCTGTAGGGCAAAGGGGAGCGAGGATGGAGGCAAGGGGAGGACGGTGTGTCCCAGCATGCCTGCAGTGCTGTCCCCACAGCCAGGCTCAGCTGTGTGGGCACTGGGACTGCCACACCACCCTCCCAGAGAGCAAGATCTTTCCTGGACCCTGTCAAGCAGGCAATACAGAAAGGCAGGAAGACGGGCTGTGGGAGGAGCACTGCAGAGGGAGCCAAGGCCTGACTGTGCAACCTGCAGAGATGTCTCAGCCTCTCGGAAGCCCAGTTTTTGCATCTGCCAAACTGGGCAGTGGTGTCCTCTCAGCCTTCCTCACCAAGCTGTTGTTCTGTGTGCTTAGCATTTAGTTCCCCATAAACAGGTTTGCATATAATTTAATAACTGCAAAGGGCTTTGAATGCCCTCAATAAAAAGGCAAGAATGTGGATATCCATACGACCACATCCGCTGGGGCCCCTGAGTAGAATAGTGAAGGGAGCCTTCATGTCGTCACAAGGACCTGGTTGAAGTTCTGCGATTTGAGCCAGCCTCTGTCCATCGTAAGCCTCTATTTTCTCATCTGTAAAATGGAGTTAAATGCTGCCCTGCCTTCTTTGCAGAGCTGTTGCAAGCCTCGTATAACAGAGTGAACCAGGCTCTGATACTAGTGGATGGTAATACTGAGCCTCTGTTTGTTCATCGAAAGTCAGGAAAAGGGAGGGGAAAGCTCCTTCTTAGGAAAGCTATGAGAATTCCGTGAGACTGTGTGTAACGCTGCCTTTGAGATTTTCACTCCTCCTCCCCTAAGCCATGCCCCACACTCTCACATGAGCTCATGCCCTTCCCCGTACCTGGAACACCCTCCCCACCCTCCAGCTGCTGAAATCTTGCCCACCTTTCGAGGCCTAACTCATGAGACCCTCTTCCCACCACCACCATGAAACTGTTCTAATTCCACCTCACAAGCAAGAGAGAGGGTCTCCCCCTCCTTCGGGAACCTTTTTGATGGCTCCTTCCTTCTAACATTGGTCTAGCCCATCTTGTACTACAGTTATTTATGTACGTGTCTAATGTCCCCACAATACTCCTTGAGAGAGCCTTGTGGGCAGGTCACCCAGACTGTTTTTACTGGTCTCCAAATGTGCTGGAGTGCCAAGCACAGATGCTGGCATGAGGGGGCTCTTATGGAGGGCCCACAGGCATGGCAAGGACTTCGGACTTCGTTCTGAACAATGGAGGGGGTGGGGCATTGGACAGTTGGGTTTTTTTGGTTTTTTGTTTGTTTGTTTTTTATTGGGGAATTGGGGGGATGGGAACTGCGCTGGGGAATTGGGGGAAGGGGAACAGACAAGTTGCTGTCCTTTTGTTCTTCAGTCTAGTTGTGGAGGACGTTGCTTCACTGGCCCAAGTTGGCACCATCATTGCGCTCTTCCCGGGCAAGGCAGATAAGTTGCCGGCTTCTGGATGGCCACTCACTGAGGCTGCTGGCCGCTCACGCTGGCTGCTGGCTACACATGGTAGCCCATGGCAACCCACCTGCCGTCACTGGCGACTCAGGGCAGGCCAGTTCCAGGTTGAGCTGTTGTTCAGCATCTTAGCTGTAGAGGGCAGTGTCACTGGCCCTCATATGTGGGATCCAAACCGGGGCCCTCTGGAGTCCTAAGCCAGCTCTTAACCAACGCGCCACTCGGCCGGCCCCATTGGACAGTTTTAAAATAGGGGAGTGACATGGTCTGACTTATGTGTGCTGAGACGCTAGGTTAGGCACCCATCTCACATCCTTCATTCCCTTTGGATAATTCTACACCTATCTGTCTTCCCAAATGTAAGCTTCTTGAGGGCAAGAGCCAAACACGATTCATTCTATATCTTTTCTTTCCTAGTACATAGCACAGTGATCAAGAAATAGCGGACCATTAAGATAGTCATTTACACCTTAGCATGAATTAGAACAGGAGTTCCTTCTTAAGAACAGGCCTTTCCAGGGAAAGGTAGCAGCAAGAATAAGAGTCCAGAGTGCTGTGTGGATTGAGGAGATAGCACCGAGAGAACCAGAGTTGTACGTGGCAGTCCTGAAAGAACCTATATCTTTTGGCATCCAGTTATCACTGTTGAACAGGTAATATATTATTCCCATTTACCCAAGAGAGGTTAAGCAATGTATCCAAGGTCCCAGCACCCAACAGGAAGCCGTGAAGTCAGGGCAGGAGCTCAGGGTTCCTCACCACAGGACCAGAGTTTTTCTGTTGCCCTGTCGGGAAGGGAGCGCACACAGTGCCCACTTCACAACTCGGTGGGACTGGCTCTGGCCCCAGAGATGAGGACACTGAAGGGTCTGGGATCCCAGTACACTAGGGGTGGGTGTGAATTGGGGGGCCAGTAGGTGTGAACTGCTAGGAGATGGCATCAGCACCAAAGCCCGATGCACAGAAGTCCAGGTTATAAGAATGCAGGACTGCCCACGACAGGTGTGCCAGGTTCCCAAGGTAACCAAGGCTTACCCAGGACGCTCAGATGTAAACATGCCCCTGGTCAACCAGTGGTAGGATGGGTGCAGACAGGTGCCTACCTGCGTGGGGGGACTCATTTACTTGACCCAAGACTGGTCCTCCTCTGTCTGAGAAGCTTGTCTTCTTCAGCTGAGAAGGGACACCCTTGGAAGTATGAGGAAAAAAAGAGAATATGGCCGACACCACCCCAGACACCAGAAGCAGCCCCCCTCAGCCCCGCCTCCCTCAGAGCTCGGGGGAGCAGGGCCACAGAAGAGCCAGGGCGGGCCTTCCCCCCTCCTCCATGCAGAACGTCAGCCCAGAATCCCACAAGAAGAGATGTCTCTAGTCACCAACTAAATATCTTTAGTGACAGAAAAGGAATCACAAGCTGAGAAGGATTTTGTTTGTTTTAAATATAATAAAAGTATATTCAGGCACCCTTGAAAAACAAGCAAAACAAAAACAAACAAGCCTTCATCTGAGATGACCAGCAGTTTACTTGAGTCATGAGGCTGTTTATTTTGTTGATTTGGGAATAAAGGACCTAAAGTACCTTTAGTACACCTCAGGGATCAGGCCTTTCCCAGGAAGCAGCTTATTGCTGGGGAAGGAGAACAGGGTTGTGGGGTGTAGACAGAACCAGGTCTGGTCCTTGCTTTAGCCTCAGTTTCCTCCTCTGTACAATAAAGATTCACCACCAGCCCTGCCTGCTCCATGGTGGGGCAGTGGGGGGGTGGGGGGAGGAGGGGAGGATCACATGAGGTAAGGGAGGGGAAAGTGACCAGCTTTTATAAGCCAAATCCACACAATTGAACATGGCAATGCCCAGGCTTTTCACTTATAAAGTCTCTCCCGGTGCTGAAGGGAGCCTGGGGACCAGCCGGATGGCATAGGTTCCATCTGTCTCCTCTGACCTGTTTCCTGCAGCTTCCTCCCTGCACTAAAGCCCAGGGCTGCAGTGCAGCCTCTCTCCTTGGACCTGTACCGGGCCCCAGAGGGACGGGACAGAGCCTTCTGGGACCATGGTTGGGCTGAAGCCTTCAGAGCTGCCTCCCACAACGGCTGTGAAGTTCCTGGGGGCAGGGACAGCCGCCTGTTTTGCTGACCTCCTCACCTTTCCACTGGACACAGCCAAAGTCCGTCTGCAGGTAGGTGCCCTTTGGCCAAGGGTCATTGTTCACATCACAGGAGAGCTGGGCTGTCCAGCACAGCACCTGCACTGTCTGCCACAAGCTCTTCCTCACACAGACTCCTGAGCAGGCCACTCACTCCGCTGCTTAAGACCCTGCCTTGCTGCCTCCCCATCACCATGGTCCTAGACAAAAAAAATCTTAATTCTTTGACATGACATGACAGGGTCCCTCAAGGCCTAGCCCTACTTTGTAAACCATAAAGTATGAAGTAACAGTAAGGAGTTACTGGGCGACCTTGAGCAAGCCACTGACCACGGTAGTGGGAGAAACAGCCTGCCCTCTATTTGCTCTGAATCAAACACCACACCGTGTCTAACAGCTCGTGAGCTGTAAACTGCTGCACAAACCTCAGTTGTTCTTACTGGGATGTGACAGCTGTGGTCATGCTTGTTCTTGAAATCAAGCCTCAGGCATACAGCCCCATCCACCGCCACCCAGCTCCTCACACCTCTGTGGGGGGTGTCCCTCAGATCCAGGGGGAGAACCAGACTGCCCAGGTGGCCCGGAGCGTCCAGTACCGCGGCGTGCTGGGCACCATCCTGACCATGGTGCGCACTGAGGGTCCCCGCAGCCCCTACAATGGGCTGGTCGCCGGCCTGCAGCGCCAGATGAGCTTTGCTTCCATCCGCATCGGCCTCTACGACTCTGTCAAGCAGTTCTACACCCCCAAAGGATCAGACCGTGAGTGCCCGTGGGGTATCCCATGGACACTGGCAGGTGGGCGGAAGCAGAACCTAGGCGTGTGGGTCCAGAGACCAGGGCAGTGCAGACTCAAAGGCAGAGCTGCGGGGCCTGGGGAGCTGGTAGCAGGTTACTCATGAGGAGACTCAGAGCCCCCATCAAGGAAGCTCCGGAGCCCTGACCCAGGAGAAGAGGCAGGCATCCGGCCCGGGCAGCCCTGCAGAGAATAGCATCAGGCTCAGAGAGGTGCCAGGGCCCACTCTCTCTTCTTCTCTCCAGACTCCAGCATCACCACCCGGATTTTGGCAGGCTGTACCACAGGGGCCATGGCAGTAACCTGTGCCCAGCCCACAGATGTGGTGAAGGTCCGATTTCAGGCCAGCAAGCACCTTGGGCCTGGGGGCGACCGGAAGTACAGCGGGACAATGGATGCCTACAGAACCATCGCCAGAGAGGAAGGGGTCAAGGGCCTGTGGAAAGGTAGGACTGGACGCCACGCTCAGGTCTTTGACAAAGCTCTTCCTACCCTAGGGCTGGGACAGAAAACTGAGGGAATTCCCAGCATAGTATATTCCAGTGATTCTCAAAGAACATCCTGACTTGCCACAGTGCTCCAAATTCAGTTCACTTTGCCAACCCCTCCGAGCAGGCAGCTCAGAGGGAGGCAGAAATGAATAGAAGACACCTTCCGTACCCTCACGGCTCTCACAGATACACAGAGGAGATGATTCTCAAAGAACATCCTGACTTGCCACAGTGCTCCAAATTCAGTTCACTTTGCCAACCCCTCCGAGCAGGCAGCTCAGAGGGAGGCAGAAATGAATAGAAGACACCTTCCGTACCCTCACGGCTCTCACAGATACACAGAGGAGATGAGACGTGTCAAGGAGCAGCCATACACGGGGCAGGATGAGCTAGGTGCATGCAGAGGTGCAGGAGAGGCAGGAGAGGCCACACAGGCTCTGGAGGGAAGGTGACACTTAAGCTGGTCCTCAGAGGCTCAGCAGGCTCTTGGTGTGTGGAGATGGGAGGGGAGGGCCTTCCAAGCAAAGGTCTGCAGGGCATGGAGAAGAGACAGAGGCCGCTGAAGGAGGCAGCTGTGAGGAGTGGGGCACCGGGAGACGCTGTAAGGACAGAGCTTCCTTGGGAGCAAAGCTTTAGGGTTCCTTACGTGTCTAAAAGGTGGCAATCTCGAAAAATGCTGGAGTCTCTTCCATATGGAGACCAGGGCCCACATGAATCCTTGCAGAAGAAACAGTGGCCGGGTGAAAATTAGGGGCAGGGCACCAGGGTCACAGCCCTGTCCCTGCACTCACTTGCACTGTGCCCTGCCGGAGCCCCGCCCTCTGTGAAACCAGGGGATTGGGCCCTCCCAGCACTACATTCTGTCATTGTTCCAAGAGCCCAGACTCCTTCTTCCAAAGAAAGGCTTCCTTTTCTAGCTCCAGCCAAGTCTCAGGGAAGTATATTTAAATTCTGGTAGATACTGCAGAGTATCCTCCAAAATTTGGCCCAAACACACACAAGTGGGCCTCTCTGTTTTCTGTCTCAAAGGAGGACACTGATAATCTGAGAGTTGTTAACACTAGAAAAGGTGTAGTCTGCTCAGCTGAGGTGGGCTCCTCTGAGACCACCGAAATGGGGCACTGTGCCCCCAAAACTGGGGCCTACCCCCACTTATCAGCCCCCACTCCCCTTTCTAACAGGAACTTGGCCTAACATCACAAGGAATGCCATTGTCAACTGTGCTGAGATGGTGACCTACGACATCATCAAGGAGAAGCTGCTAGAGTATCGCCTGCTCACCGGTGAGGCCCTGGGCTCCAGGCAGACAGCCGTCCCAAAGCAGGGAGGGAACCTGGAACTCCACATGGTTGGCACCACCCAGAGGCAACTGGGCTTTAGAAGAAGCAGAGAGAAAAGCAGCACCCAGTAAACCATTATAATGAGTAGGAAAAAGCACTGAACGGGAAGGCCAGGGACCTGGGTTCCAGACCAGTACCACTTCTTACCATGTATTATTAAGCAAGATTCACCTTCTCTGACTTCAGTTTCCTCAAACACGGTGGTTGGGCTGGGTGACCTTCTAACTCTGGGACAGCTCGGTTCGGTGTTGACCATACTTACCATGAGCTCCGCCCAGCGCACAGTGAGAGAGATAGAAAATACTACCCTTATGTTCAAGGAGTTCACAGTTTAATTGGGGACAAATGATAAACACACATGGAACAGGAAGCAAGTGCACTCATCTCACAGCTCAATATTTGCTCTTCCCTTCCCTGCTGCAGACAACTTCCCCTGCCACTTTGTCTCTGCCTTTGGAGCCGGCTTCTGTGCCACAGTCGTGGCCTCCCCAGTGGATGTGGTGAAGACCCGGTATATGAACTCTCCGCCAGGCCAGTACCGCAGCCCCCTGGACTGTATGCTGAAGATGGTGGCCCAGGAGGGCCCCACAGCCTTCTATAAGGGGTGAGCCTCCCACTCCTGCCTCCACGCTCCCTCCCAGAGAACTCGGGCCTAGGATGAGGGTTCAGGAGAGGCTTTGGCATGAGGTTGTGGTGGCCAAGCTGATTCCTACAGAGCCCAGAGCAACCAACCAGGCAAGGAGAGTAGGGACATTCTGAGCAGGAGCAACATGGGCAACGACATGGAAGGAAGGGTCTGGCATGAGCAGAGAGGACCAGGAGGGAATTAGCAGAGAGAGGCCGAAGAGGAGGGCAGGGGTCAGGTCACGGCTCCTCCGTGAGTCTGTGATGCACAGCCGAAGTGGGGACTCTCTCCCAGCTGCGTTATTGCAGGACAGGCAGGCTCTCTGAAGATTAGCTAGATTTGGTGTTACACCGTCTTCACAGTGCGGTGTCCTGGCAGGTGCCTCCTCAGGGGTGACCATTCAGGATGTAAATGAGCCCAGAAACACCCAGCAGCAGAGTGGAGTCAGGTGGGGTTAGCAGAGCTGCTTAACCTCTCTGGGCCTCCATTTCTGAAAAAGACAACTGGCAACAATCATCGCTACCTTATAGAACTGTGAGAATAACTGCCTGATATAATAACCTGGCTCAAAACGTTAGCTTTCTTTCCTTTACTGGTTCCAGCTTCTGCCTAAATTCCCTCAGCAGAGAAGAAAAAGACTGAGTAGATCTTAGAAAACGTTCATGACTAACACAAGTCTAGGTCTGTTGGCACCAACAGTGTGATGGGGCGAGCATAGTAGATCTCTGGCAACTTAGTCCATTCCGCTTGATGTTTTGGTTGTTTTCTCATCAGATTTACACCCTCCTTTTTGCGATTGGGAGCCTGGAATGTGGTGATGTTCGTAACCTACGAGCAGCTGAAACGGGCCTTGATGAAAGTCCAGATACTAAGGGAATCTCCGTTTTGAACAGAACGGGCCGCTTGGGACTTACCTGGAACAAAACCAGTCAAGAATGGAATAAAGCAGTGGGTCCACGCACAAAGGGACACAGACCCACACATGTTTACAGAACTGTTTACTTGCTGCTGATTCAAGAAACAGAAGTAGAAGAGGAGGACGCATTCTGGTCTTCGGTGCGTTGTCTTAAGAAACACCTTTGTTTTGCACTGACGAGATGGAAAACAAATTATATTAATTTTTGAAACCCATTACGTTGGATGCCTAACATTTAGGCAAGAGAAGATAAACCAAAGCAGATCTGTTTGGATAAAATGGAAGTTTGCAAACTTATGTCTCCTGAGAAATCTAGATTAGACAATGAATTATGAAGAAGAAAGGCTGCAAGCATGGGACAGGAGTGGCATATAACTTGGAAATCCGCTAAGGAGTCTAGAGGGACACAGTCAGAGCAACACAAAGCTGTGACTCCCGCCTTTGATTAGCCATGGATCTTCAGCCATACGTGTAAATGAATCCGCTGTGTAGAATCCACTGGGATTCTAGGAATGTGCGAGAAAACCTGGAACCTGTGCCAAACGAGCAATGCTGGGCTCATAAACAGTCTCTGAAGACACTGTAGAACCCAGAAGACAGCCTCGGTCTCCTTTCCTGTAAAATGGGAGTAATAATCCCATCACTGCTACCTCACTAGGGGTATCATGAGGATCATGTGAAAAGCTGGAGGGAAAAGTACTTTCTAGAAACAAACGCTCCGTACAAATGTGAATATAAGGACATGGGTGTGGGAAATATTTTGTCAGGACAGTGAGGAAGGGCCAGGGAAAAAATTGTTGAAAGACAGTTGTCTAGAGGTGTGACCACAGGAGTCAGGGGCTGGGGAGCTGGGGATGACAGAAGATAATGTGCAGGGCCGGCTGAGTGGCGCGTTGGTTCAGAGTTGGCTTGGGACGCCAGCTCCAAGCAGCAGGGCCGGGGTTCAGATCCCACATGAGGGCCAGTGATGCTGTGCCCTCTACAGCTAAGAGGGTGAACAACAGCTCGACCTGGAGCTGGGCTGCTCTGAGTTGCCGGCGACAGCGTAGGCTGCAGTGGGGCTGGCCGGCAGCTGGCATGAGCTTTTGTGAGCTACCATGAGCCACTGTGAGTGAACGTCCAATGGCCAGTGAGCAACTGCTTCACCCAGGAAGAGCGCAATGATAATACCAACATGGGCCAGTGAAGCGACGTCCTCCACAACTAGACTGAAGAACAAAAGGACAGCAACTTGTCTGTTCCCCTTCCCCGTTTCCCCAATGCTGCTCCCTCCTCCAATTCCCCAATAAAATCTTAAAAAAAAAAAAAGAAGAAGAAGATAATGTCCAGCCATGGGAGCCTAATTCCCATGCAGTCCCCATTCCCCAGCTGTACTGTGAGGCATCTTGAAGAGTGTGGGGTTTGGGGGAAGAGATAAATGCTGGGCTGAGAGCCTAAAATAGCAGGGCTCAGAATTTTTGGAAAATTATTATGACTCAATAAAGGAATTCACACCTTGGGTGTTGGAATGAGTACAGCCACTTTTCTGCCTTCTCTTTCTTGGACAGAATTTCCCTTTCTCACTTCAGGCTTCCTGCCTTGTCACGATTGGGCCAGGTCTGGCCCCCACACGCCTACACGGTCTTCTGCCCTCTCTTGCTGGCTAATTGTTCTGCCTTTTAGGGCTTTGGCTCCTAGTCCGTAAAAGGCAGAATTGAACAAGATGACATCCTTCTGAATTTAAGAATAGATATCTTTCAGGTTGATAATAGGGACCCAGAATGCCTATCTTTTTTCTGCTTCTTAGCAGCCTGTGTGACTCTGATGACAGCACTGGGTTCAAACCTCAACCCCACCTCACCTTACTCGCAGCTTAACCACCAGGAATCCTTGCACCTCAGTGTCCTACCAGAGAAGTGGGAACGGTCCCCGCCCCACAGGAATACTTAGCAAAGTCATCTTTCCTTCCCTGCTCTGACTCCTCCACACCATGGGAAAAAGAATATCCACTCAAGGCCTGGCTGAGTGGCTCAGTTGGTTAAGAGGTCGCTCTGAGCAACAGGGCCGCTGGTTTGATTTCCGGCCCAAGCTGAGCTGCTGCTGAGCTGCCAACAGGTAGCAGGATGGCTCAGTTAAAAAAAAGAAGAAGAAACAGAAAAGAATATCCACTCACTCTCAGTACTTTCCTAAGTTTAAATTATAATTGAAGGTCATCCGCAGATACAAACTGAAAAGTCCAAACATAAGCAAATAAAGAAAATTATTGTCTGGTTTGGCTTTCAAATAAAATTCATATTTAAGATTTTCTCTTACTTTTGACTTGACTATCACGTGCAATTTTGTGTGTGTGTGTGTGTGTGTGTGTGTGTGTGTGTGTGTGTGTGTGTGTGTAGGGATGATGAGAAGAGTTGGCCAGGCAAAGATCTGAGAAGAGTGTTCCAGGAAAGAGAACAAGCAATCCACAGGCCCTATGGGAACAAGCTTGGCATGTTCAAAGAACAGAAAGACTGTCCATGTGGCTGGCATAAAGTGAATGAGGAGACAAATGTGAGATTATTCATTTATTCATTCATCAAATATGTAAGGCTTGTGCCAGAGGCTGAGAAGTCAGAGAACAGCCAATTGTTTGGAAAGTTTGGCAGAGAAAGGAAGGAGAAAAAAAATAGCCATTGTAAAAGGGGTAGGAAAGTCCTGCAAGTACCTTTCAATTCACACACACACACACACACACACACACACACACACACACACTCACACACACACGTTGGTTAAGAGCTGGCTTGGGACGCCAGAGGGCCCCGGTTCGGATCCCACATATGAGGGCCAGTGACACTGCCCTCCACAGCTAAGATACTTAACAATAGCTCAACCTGGAGCTGGGCTGCCATGAGTCACTGGGACGGCATAGGCTGCAGCCACTGTTGCAGTGGGTTGCCATGGGCTACCGTGTGTAGCCAGCAGCCAGCGTGAGAGGCCATCCAGAGGCCGGCGACTGATCTGTCTCTCCTGGGAAGAGCGCAATGATGGTGCCAACTTGGGCCAGTGAAGCAACGTCCTCCACAACTAGACTGAAGACCAAATCGACAGCAACTTGTCTGTTCCCCTTCCCCCAATTCCCCAGCGCTGTTCCCATCCCCAAACTCCCCAATAAAAATCTTAAAAAAAAAAAAGATAACAGTACATTGATATTATAAATCAGTGTAGCTCATCAAATTTTTTCTTTTTGAAATTTGAAGAATGGTCACATCTTCCACCAATAAAGCCAGTGGCAACTTCCATAGAGGCATGGTAGGTGGTGTGGGCTGGTCAGATCACAAAGATAACATAAAGATATACATTTTTCCTGAGAAATACATTGTAAATAAGACCACTAATTCAGGTCAACTCTTTAGTTCATTAGATTACAATGAATGTGGTACATAGTTTATATAACAAAGTATTTATTTGAATGTATCAATATCTAATGACGATTTTATTCTTTTGAAGGTTTTGTAATGAATTGAATGCAAGATGACTAGATGATTGCTTTGAAACTATTTATGTTAAAATTTTTGTGTTTTTATTGTATCGTGAGGCATTGAAACATCTGAACAAACGAAACTCTATTTCTTTCAATGATGCAGAGCTTGCAAATGTTCTTGAGATGGACTTTTCCCTGCTTAAGAGCGGTGTTTCCATGTATTGCTGATTGGGCTTTGTCCATAAGAAGAGACAGTAATAATGTGATCAATTCATTCATCATGGTGAAATGTTTTATCAGTAAACAGATTTAAAAGCACTTTCGATCCACAAAAGATACTCCTATCACAGGATGACAAGGAAAGTAGGAGTCCTGAACAAGAAGCTTTGTCAGCTCTGATATTGACAAAAATAGTCAAGATCCAGTTGACACCGTATAAGCAATTTGGTTCTGTCTATAGAACACACAAAGCATATTTCTTTCCTATTTGATTCAATTCTTGCCTTTTTAATATTGGGAAATCCTTCAACAAAAGTTGGCATACTCTCATGTAAATCCCTGGACAGCTTCCTTACAGAATTAGAAAAGGTTCAAAACATTGGTGAAGGAGAAATGCAGAGCTATTTCGAGCAGGCACTTACTCTGAAAAACAAAATACCTTCTCTGCATATTACAATGATAGAATCACACCACTGCATAGCCAGAACTCAATTATGGTTTTCTTCTCTATCTCTTACACTGTGGAAGCCTTCTTGATTTGGACCCTGTGACTTGCAGCAGAGTTCGAAACAAAAATTACACATTGCTTGTTTCCATGGCTCCTCTCACTAATGAATTCAGCCCATCACCAATAGCACTCCCCAGAATATCAGACCAGTTATCCAGAAATCACTGTCCAGAAGTCACATCCCCATTTCTTTTACTGCCCAAAGATATAAGACTTCAAAGACTGCCAGATATATTTCAGGGTTATTATTGAGCGTTAATAATGTCTGGAGTCATCATCCTGAAGTAATCCCTACTTCAGATTAGCTCCGATGTTGAATGATGGGATGAAAGAAACCTTCTCCATTTGACAAAATAGAACTACAAAGAGAATTGGCTTGTGTCAACGTGGGTGTTCATAACATTATAATCAAGAAACACAGTGGGCTTGCAGGGGTTTCTGTGGCTATGTCCCCATGTCTACCCTTCTAGTAAACATATAAACAGAAAACTTGGTGGTGCTTCTGATGAGAAAGGAGAACCTGATTTAACTTCCAGCTCAGAGTAAATGTAAGTACAGAATCATTCGAAATGGTCATTGAGGAAGCAACTAATGAATCAACAAGAAAACAGAACTCTGATGTTGCCAAAACAGAAGCCAACTGGTTTCCTCTTGATCTGTTTCTCATTTAATTCAGAGCTATTTAGCTGTTTAGCTCTGAATTAAATGAGAAGGTTTGTAGGAAAACCGCAACACACAAACTTTGCAAAAAAGAAAGTCTTCAAAAACTCTGACATTCCAGTAGAAAACTCTCTCTACATATCCTTAACTTTGTTCATTCATTCTAGGAAGGTGCTTCAATACTGGATATTCACACAGAGGCCAGCTTTTTCATGTTTTACCATCTTATGCTAGTCTAACTTTTGAATATGAGTGTAAGACCAGTGATGGATGGGAGACTCCTCAGTGCCAGAAATAATTTTTTGAGACTTGACTTCTCAGTTTCCAGTTTGCTTCGTATTTTACTAGGGCCATGTGCTCAGGGTATTTTTCTTACCTGTGTGAACGAAAATAGGGCTCTGTAACAACCCTGACAAGTTCAAGGGGGCCACATGGCAGGTCTGACAAGCTCAGTGACTGAAGTAACCACACAAGATGATCTGATCACGTATTCCTAGCTGGGCAGGTCATAGAAGGTAGTCACATCCCAGACCTCTAGCAAAGGCCAATATTTACCTTAAGTGAACCCTGGCCATTTTTCTTATGTATGTAGGGTAACATACCAGAGTAATGTCAGAGGAATTTTCTTTTCTAGATACCCTGAAGGCACAGCCCCAGGCAGCAGAGCACAAGACCACCTGAGGAGACTACAGAACCCTTCATTTTGATCTTGTTCCCCGCATATCATTGTAAATGTTAATTGTTAACTATCCTGTACTCACCGATGTAAAAGAAGTATGTGTTTCACCATTTTGCTTTTTATCCAATACTAGAGATTTCCCCACTTTGCTTTCTCCTGCCTCCTTAATCTACCACCAATGGATGTCATGTACATTCCTTACATTTTCTCCTGATTCTAAATGCTTAAAAATCTCCATTCTCTGGAGCATTTTCTCAATCCGTTGAGATCTTGCTTCTAGGCATATCCTAAAAAACTTAACTCAGATAAGCTCTTATAAAACTTTTCTATAGGTTTGAACATTCTTTTGTGGACACCTGCTATAATATTCCATTCCCAGTCCAGGTATAGTCTGTCTCCTCAGCTG